TGCTGAGCTTCATTTCCCAGCCACGTGCTTGAGAAACCCACCAGGGAGATGCTGAGCTGGGGAACCGGGGGGCACGGGCTGGCCCGGAGCTTATTGAAGAGGCAGCTCGTTACCAGACTCACAAGAGTCTGCAGCTGCGGAAGTGGAGTGACGTGAATCTCACCAAATGAAACTGTAAATCACTTCGATTAAAGTTGTTTTGCTGCAGCACAGCTAACAGGAAGAGAAAGGGACAGGGTGACTTCTTGAAGTCATTTCCAGCCTTATTTTCTATGCATGTGGTAACTGTGTCCTTCAGCTTGTGCTTGTCCCTCTCCAGATGGGACCATGGGGTGGGTCTATCCCCATGGCACTGGCCAGGCTGGGATGCTGTGGGTGCAGGCAGCATGGGAAGGTGCTGGCTGGGCTGCTGTGTGGTGTCCCTCACTTCCCAGACACAAAAATCCTCAATTTGAGCTGGAGATGCTTGAGAAGCCTTTCCCCAAGCAGAAAAAAAAATTGCAGCTCATTTCTCATCTCAGGCCACCACTGCAACTGTAGATAAGAGCAGTTAACACAAGGAAAAGGGGCAAGTAAAACCTCCAGAGGGAAATTCCAGCTGAGATCCTTCTGGAGCTGCCCAAAGGGAAGGAGCTGTGGTGGTGCCATGGGGGATCATCACCACGAGCTCATCCCCACATCTGCTGCTGCTCCAAAGATTGAGCTCCTGCACGGGAGCCCCAGGAGCACGAGGAGCCCATCCTGGGGCAGCGGGAGAGGAAAGGGCCCTGTCCTGCGGTTTGGCTCTCTACTGCAAAAAGAAACTGAAACAAAGAGTTTTAAAGGCAGAAACCCCAGACTCGGGTGTTTTCTGAGCCTTCTGACCTGTACCTGCTGCTTCGGCTTTCACTGAGGGTGAGCAGGTTGGGGCAGCTGAGGGGTGAGTACAGACAGGAAGGAAAGAACTAAAATATTTTATAACACCCCAAAAAGATTATTTTCAGCTTGTGCTGCAAGTCTTTTCACACAGTTCTCCACAGTTGTGCCCAAAAGGGAAACCAACCCACCTTGATGCCAGGATGGTGCCAGCCCCTGGAGCCAAGGGACTCCAGGACATCCCAGTTATTCCAGCAGCTCTCCCAGTTGGTTGCACAGTCAGGTCCAGGCTCAGTGGGAGATCCCAGCCCAACCCCAGGAACTCACCCACCGGGTTGTGCCCTGCAACAGAGCCCAGCTCCTTTCAGAGCCCCTTATCCCCTCTTTTGCCATCCTTTTCCAATTTTTAGCTTATTTCTTTTCCCTGATTGTCCCAACAGCAGATTTTATCCTCCCCATCTCAGGGCTGACACCCAAATCCCACCTGACCCGCTCAGACTCTTCACATCCACACTCAGAAACCTGTAAATCACACTGAGCACCAAGCACACAGCGAGACCCCAGGGTTGTGATAGCCCACGGGGGACAAATCCTGCGGGGGATGTGAGTGCCTGGCTGGGACAGTAAAAACACAGCCTCAAAATCCAGTTTGTGATAAAAATAATTTTTCCAGCTGGTGGCAGCAAAGCCTAAAAAATAAAGGGCAAGCAGCTGCTCTGCCTGCAGCAGGTACTGGGCTGGGGACAGAAACGGGGGACACAGGCAGGGACAGAATCCCAGAATTGCCTGGATTGGAAAAGCCCTTTGAGCTCATCAAGTCCCATCATGAACCCAACACTGACAAGTCCCCGACTAACCCATGTCCCTCAGCACTATGTCCACACGACTCTTCAATCCCTCCAGGGATGAGGACTCCACCACTGCCCTGGACACTACAGTGTGTCCATCTTGTCACAACTGATCCCATGGTCCATTTGCTAAACCCCTTTCACCCGCCCCGCAGCAGGACCAGGCAAAGGCTCATCTGCAAAGGCAGATGCCAAAAGAGCCACAACAGCCTCAAACTGCAGTCCCCAGATTAAAAAAAAAAAAAAGACTTCTTTGTATTAGAGGCACAGGTCTGTCCCGCCTCGCTGCAAAGCAGACCTGCACTCTGCAGAATTATTTTTTTTAATTATTATCATTTTTTCCAGCAAAACAAGCTTCTGCAGCAGAGATCTGAGACACACGAGGCAAATCTCAGTTGCTGCTTTGCCCACGGTGAGCACCCAGCCCGCTTTAAGGCATCTGCATTTAGGCTGCTGTGATCTGAGCTACTAAATTAATGAGTAAAAACATCCCGGCTTCCCAGCTCTTGAACCCCAACAGCTGCTTTTAAAGGAGATGTGGGATGTAGCCAGCATGGGGGGAGCAAGTCCTGAGCCCCTTCCTCACCCTGGTCCCTGGGGAGTGTGGGGATGCTCCGTCCCCGCAGGAGCTCACCCCAGGGACGGTGGGATGGGTTGTCCCCAGCTGACTTCCAGCACAGCACAAAACTGCTCGGGGCAGAGTAGCAGCAAACAGCAAACCTCCCTGTAAATAATTAATTCCTTAAAACTGAAACAAAAGGGAATCCGAGATGACAAAATCCTGACACCATTTCCCCACCGTGCCCTGGAAAAGGCACATTGAAAAACTGAGATGGGGGAAAGCCAGTAAAAATAATCACAACAATGATCCAATCCATAATCTCAATCTTAAATCCTCTTTCCCAGAGACAGTCGGAGGCCCATTTTCCAGCCTCTCTGGGAAAATGAGGAAGATTAAGCATTTTTAAATCAGGTCATTGCCAAGGGAAGTTGAATCCTGTTTTTCCTGGTAGGTGTGTGCAAGCCCAGGGTGGGGAAACGTGGGGCTCTGC